CCTGGTGTTTCTACTCATACTTGAGAAAGCACACCCCGACAGGCGATAAAGTGTGCGCAACTGTCTTTGCTACTGATGCTGAAGCCCTTGATTTTAAGAGTCAAGTTAGACCTCATTGGGGAAAGCATCCATCACTGACCTATTCCCTCCAGGACTCCTCTTGCCAGCACAGTCCTCCAATAGGCAGACAGCAGTCCGATGCTTCCACGAGAGACCCGAAGCATTTGCCTGAGGCTTCATGTCTCCTTGTCCCTTCTCTGCCTCCTCCAGCTGCTGCCTCTGCCATTCTGATGAATGTCAAGGTGAGACTCCGCGTTCTGCTGTCACTTCCCCGGTGCCTCTGCCATCAATCATGTGTCCCGTGTTCCCACCAAGGAACAGCCCCCTGCACACTCCCGACATCAAAACGCATCTTACGAGACGGAATCCTGGTACGGTTTCCTGTTTCTCTTTAACTTCATCCTGTGCCCAAGTCCTCTGACAGTTCCTTTAACTGAATTTATCTTCAGTGTGGTACCCTGCTCCAAGCCAGCACAGATGGCCCGGCTAAGAAATCCTTTTGTGTTCAGTTCAAAGATCAAATGTATTTCCCATTCACCCTTTTTGTTTTTTATCTCTTATTCTTTCTCTTAGCAAAAACAGTCGCACAAATGAGAAGAAAAGAGAGTGTCACTGAATATGGGAATGACCCATGAGAATTAGCATAGATTCCTAAACTTGGGGGCCAGTAACAGATGAATCAACAAGGAAGAAGAATTTAGCCTGATACACGCATGTACCCTTTGGGCACTACTATCAGAATGGCACTGCCTAGGCCGAGGAGAAGGCATATTATACAGGAAGAGATGTTGTTTGGGTTTTCCTGAAAAGCCAGCGGTAGGTTTCGCAGAAGAGCCGGTTAGTTTCTGTGCCCATTTCTTATCACTCAGTGATTCAGGGAGGAGACAGATTCTTGGGCCCCAGCCACATGTAGATACAAAGACAGCAAGACAGAAACCAGTTGCTTTATGTTTTCAAAAGCAAGGACGCAAAGGCACCAGGGCAGAAGGGAGCTTATGGCTCTGGTGGCTTGTGACATGGATGTCTATGACACATCCAACTTCGGATCTATTTGTGTTAGTCAAGTCAAAAGTTCTGCTTGCTGGCCTACAAAATATGGTCACCTTGCTTCCAGCCGAGGCAGTGCAAAGTGAGGTCCTTATGAAAGTCCCGTTTCTTAGATGGTGTCAAACATGGCTGAGCTTTACCCGACAGTCCACGCAATGAGTCATGGGGCTGACAGTGATGCGGTGCAGTGACCAGATGGGTCTGCTAATAATTAGAAACACATTTCTATATTTCACAGGACGGAGGAAGGAAAACATCACTAGGAAAATGTTACATGTGGGGACAATTATTCAATGGGCCCTTGGCTGGGATTTGTGGATATGAACATAATTCAGAGGCAAGAATGAGATGCTTGGAATAAGACGTGGAGAGTTCCCTTATTGAAACAGAGCTAAGAACACAGTTACTCACGTCCAGCCAAGTCCTGATTACTCAAGAAATGATGACCGATTGGTCGATTACCAAACTGTTCCTTGCCCTTTCTCAGTGCCATAGTCTGATGCTTCTCAAATTTGTAAGAGTTGATTTGGAAATTAAGAATTTTGTATTAATAAAAAAAAGGGAAAATTCTTGAAAGGTCATCAGAGTGTTTCTTAAATTTTAGTTGGACTGGATTTTATACAAAGCTAAAACAAAAGATTACATTCTCAAAGTAAGAAGAGTCAAAATTGATACACTTGGTATTAAAAAGTTTTATTGGGGGGTGTTGAGACAGGGTTTCTCTGTGTAGCCCTGGCTGTCCTGGAACTCATTCTGTAGCTCAGACTGACCTCGAACTCACAGAGATCTGCCTGACTCTGCCTCCCTGAGTGCTGGGATTAAAGGGATGCATTGCCACCACCCGGTGGATATGAAAAGTTATAATTTACAGTTTCGGATGGTGTTGTTTTTTTTTTCAGTTTTTATTTATTTATTTATTTATTTATTTATTAAAGATTTCTGTCTCTTCCCCACCGCTGCCTCCCCTTTCCCTCCCCCTCCCCCAATCAAGTCCCCCTCCCTCGTCAGCCCAAAGAGCAATCAGGGTTCCCTGCCCTGTGGGAAGTCCAAGGACCACCCACCTCCATCCAGGTCTAGTAAGGTGAGCATCCACGAAACTGCCTAGGCTCCCACGAAACCAATAGGTACAGTAGGATCAAAAACCCATTGCCATTGTTCTTGAGGTCTCAGTAGTCCTCATTGTCCACTATGTTCAGCGAGACCGGTTTTAACCCGGGCTTTTTCAGACCCAGGCCAGCTGGCCTTGGTGAGTTCCCGATAGAACATCCCCCTTGTCTCAGTGTATGGGTGCACCCCTCGTGGTCCTGAGTTCCTTGCTTGTGCTCTCTAAACAACATAGCGGAGCTGTACTTTCCAGTGAGACCAGAGGAGAAGAACCACCATTGGGGTTCAGGGTTGGAGGTTCACACTTTTAGTGTTTCCACAGGACATGGGCACTTTGCTATGTTTTATGACATCTCCAGCACCAGGGATGCTGTCCTTGTCCGTGTGGAGTTGATTGTCACATCTTTCTGTATTCTGGGAAATATTAGTGACTTTCCTCATTACTGTGATCAAAATACATGACAGGAAGCAAGCTGAATAGAGAATTGTGTTTGACTTAGAAATCTAGAAGGGTATAGTCTGTCCTACTGGGGAGAAAGAGGGGCTTGACAAACAGTAGCATCTGGTCACGTGGTATCTCTGCTGTCATGAAACAGAGAGTAGACAGGAAGTGGGGCAGGGATATAAGACCTCAAGTCTGCCCCCAGTGACCAATTTCCTCCATTGAAGCTCTACTTCCCCAAAGGTTCCACAACCTTCCCAAACATTGCCACCAACTGGTCTTCAAATGGTGTGAACTTGGTGTGGGGCTTTTCACATGCAAACCACAAAACTCACAGTATGAAACAAAAAAGAGGAGGGGATTTAGAGTGACTTGCACGTTTCAAAGAGATAAACTTTGGATCTCCTTTCAATGGCGTGTGACACACACACACAGACACACAGATACACACACACACACACCATGGAAATTAACCATTTCTCTGTGTTACTTCCTCTCCAGAGAGGCTTGCCTATCTCACAAGACTGGCTGTCTATGCCAAGCAGTCACACCTCCTCCTAAAACCCTCACACTGACTTTCCGAAGACAGGAACACAAGTATTAGAAACCTTATCTTGGCAGTGGATCCAGCTGAAGGAGCTCCTGAATTGTGATGCAAATAGTGCTCTTCCCACATTCTGATCTTGTAGCCTCCAAATGTCGTAGGGACACTGATTAATTAACAACCCTCTGCTCTGTGCCTTCGAGGATGAGTGGTAAGGAAAGAGCAATGGGAATTTACAGTGTAAAGGGAAAGAAACGAAAACATACAGAGCTAAAGACACTTGCGTCTGAATTTTGACAGTCATTGTTTTTATTTAAACTTCTCCACCATCTTGGCGGGGAAAGAATCTTGGTGTAAGGGTCTCCCCTCCACCTTTACGGGCAGGGAAACTGAAGTTCAGGAGTATAATTCCCTGGTAATCAGTTACAGTGAGGGGTAGGATTAGAACTCAGATCTGTTCGTGTCTAACATTCACATTCTCTCTGCTTCTCCATAGACGGAAGACAGGAGATTAGCATTTCCATCAGCCTAGCTAGTTATTATCCTGGTGGCTATAGAGCTATTGATAGCTTTACTCTTTACTAGAAGTCATTTTGGTCTCATTCCTGTCTTAAAGGCAATTTTTATGGGCTCAAACTCTCGAACTTGCAAAAATCTGGAATTAAAAAAAAAAAAAAAACTGTGAGCTTTGTCCTCAAAAGTCAAGCCCATAACACGGCAGATGTTCCTTCCAGTCTGTGGGGTGGGGAGGGAAGGACTTACTAACTTCTTAAATGGAGAAAACATGAACTGTTGTTGGGACTTGTCAGCTCCTGAGAGCTGGGACTGCGACTTCCCCTACACGGGCTACTTTCTACCAAGCTCATGGATGTCAGAAAACTACCTCTCAGGCCTGGAATCTATTTTCCTACCCAAATCCCCAATTTTCACTGGACTGACGGGCACAAGGCTACATGATGCTCCCATTGCTAGCCATTCTTTTGCCTACAGCCAGAGTAAATGCTATGCCCTGCCTTTCTCTTTCCTCAGCGCTTGAGAGACAGAGCTGAAGTCCTTGAGATGCAGGTGATAACTGACCTCAAGGCACGCCCAAACACTGAAATTCCTCGCCTTCAAAGATGGTGAATCTGAGTATGCTGGGTTTCTTTGCTCCTTGCTTCCATTGCCAGGCGGGAGAACAGGGATTTACCATCAAGAGCCATATGAGAAGTCACTGCCGAGTTACCAAGCCTCTGTAAGGCCAGCAGCCCTCCTGTCTCCCTGTGTGACTATCCTTTGACTGTTTCCTTCCAGGGAAATGAGTCATGGTCCTTTCCTGTGATTTAAGGGTAGGCATTGAGTTTGGTACCTCCAGTTCTTCACCCAGTGTCTAACGTGTCTATCATTCGATAGATGGTTTCACCCCACAGTAGACTACAAACCTCAAGACTTCCATGTACCCAAAGCATCCAACAGAGCAAATGGAATCCTGTGAGTCAGGGGAGGGTTCTGAAAGAATTTGGTCTATGGACATAAGACAAATATATGCAGAGAACTGGCCTAACATCATTTCTAATTAATCACCTTGATATCATACTTTCATTTATGCAAAAGTTTTGATAAGTTTTCCTTAACCAGAAGAAAAGTTGGGTGACCAGAACCCAAAGTGAAACCCCCCAAATCAAGAACAGCTCCCAAACTGAATTTCTCCCTCAAAAAAAAAAAAAAAAAAAAGGCAAAGGTTATTTTTACAGTACAAAAATTTTATTTTTTTGTTAGGATAATTTAAAGTTTAAAACTGAAGTAGACATATTCATTTTACAAACAAGATATTCTTTCATAAGGAAGACCATTAAAAACAGTAAACAAAAAAAGCTGTCTTTACAAAAAGCTCTGCATAGCAACTTTATACTGTATGTAACTGACAAAGCAAAAAAACAACAAAACTATACAGTTTGGAAATGAGACCTTACTTTACAAAAGGTAAAGATAATGGTTTTTTAACCATGCATGTTGAAATGTGCAAAGAAAAACTGGAAAGAATTTTGATGCCGTAACAAAAGAAATGAGATAAATAATGCAGTCAATTGTCCATTTAAATGAAAACTCTTACACGGTTCCTCTCCAAAAATAGAACAGAATTCTGTCATTACCTATAGAGATACTTGTCTGCCAAGCGGCACAAAAATAACCTGGGAGCAGAATCATTTAATAGCAATGACTAAAGAGGACAGAGTGGCTTCGTTTTTTAAGTTATTAGTACACTAAAAATAATCCTTACACACGTTTGTACAATTAAATAGGTCTGTGGCTGCCGAGGTCCTAGTGAATGGTCAAAGATGTCCGGTTTTTAGTTACACACAGTCTTCGGTGTAAAACTACCGACAGACTCTACGATCATTCTGAAGACAGTACTGCACTAATCTTCATGCAAGAGAAAGATTCACAGGTTCTAAAAGCTATTGCTACTTAAGAAAAAAAAAAGAAATGTCCTTATGTTGGATTGGCTCAAATCCAGGTCTAAACATGCTTAATTTTGCTCGGCCTCCATTTTGGGATGGTAAGGTTCGTAGTCCACGCATTCTTTCCCCAGTACCGGGTTGTTAGCCAGGGCGGGTGTTCTCATGCATTTCCGTATACTTTGGCGCTGGAAGCCCTGACTATGAAGGACTGTCAGCAGTAGTTATGAGCATGCCGGGTTTCAAAAATTGTGGATTCTCATGTGCTAGGGGGAAAAGTGTCCTATTGGGCGATTCCAGAGCAAACTAAAGGCAACTCAGACAGCCGAGGGTTGGGTAAGTGAGGGCGTGTGCCAATGGGCATTGAGAGGGTCATCTAAAATTGGCTCAGAAGCACGAAAGATGTTTTCCCCATGAAAACTGTATCAATTTCCAATGCCAGAAGCCTAACCAAGAACCTCGAGCTAAGTCTGTGGAAACAAGGCAAAGACACCTGACCTGGGAAATCATGACATCCTATTGTCAAGCCACGCAAGTCTAGATGTATCTCTGGGACCAAACACATCTTGAAGGCTCTACCGTGGTTAGCAACTACTGCAGGGTTCCCCTCCTAAGAACTAGGTAGGCAGCACAGGGCTCCCCAGGGCAGGCTGCTCAGAACACAGCTACCACTAATCTCCCAATCTCCAAGGAATCCCAGTGTCCATATCTTTGGGCAGAAGGACAGAAGCTTGAGGATTTTTGAGTACTCTCTTCTACACCCTTCCCCACTCCTCCCAGATACAAGTTTTTCCGAGGGACTTTAATCACACAAAAGGAAGACTCTGCATAGAAAGGAAACCGTCGAAGACTTACCCCAACCTCTTTCTGCAAAGTTCTGTGGAGCTTCCTGCCTCCATGCCTAAATTGGGCACCAGAAGAGAAGGGACCATACAGCTCTGTCAAGGAGAAGTTCTACCACAGAGCCCATGGACAGTCGCCTGGCTTTGGCCCTTCTCAGAGGCAGTTCTTATCTAGGGAAAGATGGTAACACAGGCACGCCCTGCATTGCTCAGGAAAGAATGTAGTTTTGAAAACGCCACACCAAGGGTGGACACAACTGATCTGCGAACTCTTTAGAAAGCAAGTCTGGGAACGAAGGGACGGGTTGGAGCATTTGCGGGCCAGCATTTCTCTGAGTCTGGCTTTGCGGCAGATTGCTCTGTGGGAATCCGCACAAGACACAGCGCTCTTGTGCATGGGTCAATAAAACGATGGGAAAAGAGGGATGTGGGATAAGAATCTAATAAGCAACTGTAATAACCACACACCGTTAAAACTCGTCACTACCTGTTTGTGTCGATTTCATTTTACATCAGGAAGAGAGACTCCTCTCTTCTAAAAAAAAAAAAAAGTCTTAATTTCTACTTCTACTTACAATAAGTTACACGTTTATTTATTTAAATAACTGTAAAACATTTTAAATTTTTTTCCCTTTTTTGTTTTTTTTTTTAAAGAGCTTAAGGTATAAGCAAACACACATACAACATTTCCTCATTCGATTCAGGTTTCATTTTTAAGAAAGTCTCCCATGCTGGTACCCTGTTTTGTTCAATTTTTTTTTCTGCATAAACTAAATTGGTATCTGAAAGGATTCATAGAAAATAGAAACTTTCAACTTTTTTTCCTACAAAGAAAAACAAATAGTATCCAAAATATTAAGCATGAATGTTTGCCAATGTTTTTCTTAAATATTTTACAAACATAAGAAGGTGGTTTTCGTAATGTTCATAACAAAGAATTGCGTTTCTGCTCTTAGCACTGACCACGCCAATGACGTCTTTCTGCCCTTGCTTGTGGAGTTACCGTCAGTGCTTCGTGAGGAACATGAGACCAAGATGGCGGCTCCTTGCCTTCCCAAATCTGTCCAACGTGGCCACTCAGGGGCGTAACTCTCCCCAGTGAGCTCAGAGTGCTTCCTTCATAATTGGTCCATGGGAATAAGTAGTTTTGTGCTATGAGAAAGCAGTTCTTCCTCTTCTTTACATTGGGGGTACAACAAGTCCCGTCATGGCTGCAGGGAAAGAACGGCACAGGATTAAAAACATCAAGACTTTTTTGGAAAAGCTGATGGGGGAGGAGGGCAGGTGTGGGAGCAAGAGAGTCTAATACAGCCCAGGGAGCTGGTGAGCGGTACGTCTGTGAGTGGGTTCTCTCCAGGACGGAGCTAACAGAAGCTTCAGTGCTGGCGACCTACATCAGGTCCCCATGTTCGTTTGGCAAGCCCTTTGTCATTTTTGTCTATTAAGGGGTCATCCTGGGACAACGGAAGTAAACATACAAACTAAATAGCAAAGACATGTCCCACATCACTGGGTGGAGCCGGAAGGGAAATAAATGCTGAGCCTGTTGGCTTTTTAGGCATTGGTTATAACAAATCAGGGGTTCTCTCCACCCTAAGTGTCTTTGTGAACATTCTCCCCTAAACTAGATCCATTCTTATTTAGCGCTCACTGACAGTGTGTGGAGATAGTCACCTAGAAATGCTGGTCTTTGAAAAAGACTTCATTTCGTTACTAGTTTGGGAGTCCACCCAGTCCCAACTACCCACGCCCTATCCAAATACATCATCCACTGCCTCCTCCATCTACTGAAGAGGATGTGGATGTGTCTGGGGAGCATCAAGTCCAATGTTTTTCCCTCTGTGTAAGGAATGAATAAAGTAGGGGATCACAGAGCAAAGCGCACCCCTCTATCCTGGCTGTGCTGTAACAAGCCCAGAGGACTTTTACGGGCGTGGAAAGTGACAAGTTCCCTTGTATTCAAACTTTCAAACGTCTCTGGCATTTGGTTCCTGGATTTCTCTTGTCTATATTGCATGGATGCAAACAACGACTCATACAAGTATCTTTCTGAGTTATGCTCACCACGATGATTCCGAGTAAACAGCCAAAATTCTGGCCATTCATGCTCTCTCCAACCCCAACTCTTTCTCTCCCCTTCCTGTCTTCTCCTCCCCTCCCCTCCCCTCCCCTCCCCTCCCCCTCCTTTCCTACCCCAGCTAGTTCTCTCGGGCAAAATTGTCAGCTGTCTGTTTCCCTGCCCATACAGCCTTTATTGAATGTTTGTGAGATCTGGATTAAGGTCTTACACAGCTAGCAAAGCCTTAATTATTTTTGCCTGTATTACTATATATTGAATCGATGTAAGTTTTCAATAAAGGCAGTTCAATTCTGGACATTCCCTGATGACTTGGATATATAACAACTGCTGTAATTATCCAGGAGTGTAGGAAGCATGTGTGTGTGTGTGTGTGTGTGTGTGTGTGTTTCTGGAGGGAGCTAGAAAATGAATCAGACACGCAGCATATAATATCACCTTGACAATCTATATTCATCAACTGTAAACGCCTCATGAGTAAGGCAGAGGGTGGGACAGAAAAATGCTGTAAGCATAGTGTTTGGGGGCTAGAAGCCTGGCTCCTACTCCTCCTCTCTTGTTCCCTATTGCACCCCGTGCTCTCCAGCTCTTCCTTCATACAGATCTCAGAGGCCCAAAGGCTCAGAACAGCAGACTTCATTCACACCCTTTTTCTGATCTGCCCCAACACTAGATGGGTTGGAATTCTGCTAGATAGTGACCTTGACTTTGTACTTAGAGAAACCATCGGGGAGGAGGGGCATTTTCATCGGTGACTTTCATGGTGGATAGATGCTTATTTGCACTTTGTCCAGGTCCTATTCACCTTGGGTGTTTCACAGAAAAGCAATCCCCTCCCTCTGTCTTGGTGGCAAAGTAGATGAGAATGAAGTGTGGGCAAAGAGCAGAAGTCCACCAGAACCGTCCCCGGAGAGACAGTGTGCTGTCAGAGCACAGGTTCTAGGGCCCGGGTGCCTGGATTCAAGCCATCAGTCACTTGCTGTGTGGCCTCAAATCAGCGGTTCGGCTAAATCAGGAAACTGGGCTGATCTGAAGAGAATATGTGTGCTGAGCATCGGGGTAGAGCCTTGTCTACAGGGAACACATTTCAGGGAGTATGGTCTACACTATGGATCATGAAGCTGGAGCCTCGATTTCCTCACTCTATTCCCCTTTCAGCTTAGCGTTGATGAATGAATAAAGACAGGGAACTTGAGGAGCAGAGACATCCTCACCAGCAGGGTGTGAGGAGGGGGACGCATCAGACAGGGCCCCCGTGGTGTTTATTTCCCAGGATGCGAACACGGCCCTCGTGGAGAAAGTTCTAATCCTGCTCTGAGTGACAAGATGGAGCCTGGGGGGTGTTTGATGAGAGACAGGGTGGGTGGAGACACTCAGTTACAAGCTGTGCTGCTCCTCCACGGCTTAGACATCTGGATGAAAGAAAAAAGTTCCATCCAATGTACAGATGTTTCCAACTACCCACATGTTGGGTGGCATGGACTTCCACAGCCCAGCTTCTTGGGAGGAATGTCCCGTGGCTGTTCCGAGAGCTGGGTTTCCAGTAATGGCTTTGACAGTTTCTCTGTCATCTCTGTCAAAATGTCACAGTCCCTAGGGCTGGAAACCCGACATGCCTTTCAAGTTCCCTCGGCTACCCCTCACGGGTAACCCCTGAAGATTTGGAACACATACACTTTCAGCAAAGCCACCGAGAGCTGGGGTCCCCAGAAGGGCACAGCCCATCCCAGGTCCCCACAAAGCTCTGCTGACCAACGCTGCCTGTCGTAAATGTTTCCATGTCAAGACATAAGAATCAGCCAAAAATAATGCGGGTCACCAGTGAGCCGCGGTGCTCAGCAGGTTCCAATTTGCTCTCTTGCCATCAGCTGCCTCCCATTCTCAGCGGGATGATTAGATTCTCATGTACTCATCACATTTGTGTTACGTCATGTCATATTACATCTTAGGACGTTGCTCAAAAGTGGCTTTGACGGGCGATATTAATTTTTTGTTCTTAGAAACGCTATGGCTTTTTCCCCCTCTTCCTTCCCTACTTCACCCCTTGATCAGGCACCTGCTATCAATTTGGCCAGCACATAGCCAGAGTGTTTGCTCCTGATGGATCCTTCCACATGTGCCATGGGAACGAACACGAAGGACAGATGGTAAAGCCAGCTAGATAAGAAATAACCACAAGGCACCTGAAGGGGCCAACAGGCACCTTCCAGAAACAGTGAATGGCCCTATGGAAAGCACAATCCTGGGCTGCCCAGGTGTTCCTGGGTTGAACATGTGGTTCTGCCACCACTAACTCCATGTCCTGCAGATGCTCGGCTTGGCATCATTCACCCCCATACTAGCCCAGGACTAGGGCAAGCGTCAGACCAGCATCCCTGCCATCCATGTCCCACCATGAAAGTCCCAGAAACTCTGTAGGCAAGTGCTCAGAGCTAGAGAGCAAAGCTGGGCTGCTTGCCCTTCCTTTGCCTGCCCCAGGACCCTGGGTCACATGCACCCCTAAAGCGGCCGGTCCCTTCTCTTACCTCTGAATCCATTCCCATTGCCACTGGAGCAGGCGGGCGAAGGGGAGCCTTGGGGCCTGATGACAGGGGCAAAGGCACTCTTCTGCTTGACAGCAGGAAAAACTGAAGAGGAAAACGGGAGGATGGAGGACGTGCTGGAGGATCCGACGGTGGGGCTCGAGGACATGACTGGAAGCAAAGGCGTGACAGTCTTTAGGAGGGGGCTCACCGAGAAACCTTTTTTTTTTTTTCTCAACATACACATTCTTTGCAATTTGCTCGAGAAATTATTAACTCCCGGGTATTGTTCCAAGTACCAGTGATTAAAAACAACCGACTTGAGGGACCTTCATACCTATTTCCATAGTGGCTGGGTCAATTGACTTTTCATGCACGTCCTTTCTCTCCACATCCTCGCCAGCATCCGCTATTGCTATTTCCTTTGCAATAACCATTCTGACTGGGATGAGAAAGACTCTCAGTATTGTTCCAACTTGCTTACAGCTAAGGTAGTGGAATTTTTTTTTTCACAAGTATGGCATGCCCATTCATACCTCTTTAGAGAATGATCCTGTGCCCCATCCGTCCATTTTCTGACTGGCCTATCAGAGACCATCGTGTTAGGCAAAATAAGTCAGATGCAGAGAGACGATAGCGTGTGTTTTCTCAGATGTAGTACCTACAGTTCTTTAGAGCTACGTAAAGTCATTGTATGCATGCATGTATATGTATGTAAGCATAGATATGACGCTGAAGCAGGAGTCTGAAAGTGAATACTTCATAATATATATATATATATATATTATATGCCAATAAAATGAAAGAGAGAAATCAGAAAAAAAATGTCAAATGCAATAATATTCTTCCCCCACCTAGGTGGAATAAACACATAAACAGCTACTGTGGCAATGATCCCATTGGAGGAAAGGAAGACCCTGTGAGAAGACAGAATGCTCCTCCCACTGCGAGTCCAGGAAGGCAGGCATCCTATGCAGAATGGGAAGCTTCTTTTTACCCTGAAAAGAAGCCCTATCTGGAACTGTGCGCCGCCTGGCAACTCCCATGCCCTAGAGGTTTGATGTGCAGGGCCAAGAGCACATGACTGCCCTCTCTCCATGAGCTACTTCTTCACTCTGTGCAGGAGCTGATTAACATTCAGAAGATCGCCTCCCTCTCTGGACTTGCAGTGCGCTTGGGAAATAAAGCTGAAAGTCAGCCTCCCCTGACATAATGCTCAGAGAAGAACCACCAATATTAACAATATTAACATTAAATAATGACTTAAGGGGAGCCAAAGGCTAAGGGTGGTCATTTCCAAGAAAAATAAAGGCGGTTTAAAGAGCAAAGGGCCCCACCTCCTCATGGCAACATACTCCACCAAGTTATATCAGAGAGGAAAGCTTATGAATTGTGGCTCAGCTTGCTCAGAAAGAGCAAGTGAGATGCGGGGAAACAGCACCAACAACTAAATTCAAGGTGAATTGAAGGTCAGAAGCTTTGGTACCCCGAGGTAGACGCTACCCCGTCTCCCCTGCATCTCAACTGTGCCTATAGCAATCACAGGCAGTATGTACAACATGATGTCTTTCTTCTTCAAGATTTGTTTTATTACTTTTACTCATGTGTGTGAATATGCACATGTGTGCAGGTACCCAAGGAGTCCAGAAGAGGACACTGGATCCCCTGGAACTGGTGTTGCGGACAACTGTGAACTGCTCCATATGGGTGCTGGGAACCAAACCTGGGTCCTCTGCAAGAGCAGTGGGTGCTCTTAACCACTGAGCCATCTCTCCAGCCCTCAGTATGTCAACTTTAGAGCAGAATCATAAGTCAAAGTTATAATAAGAAAAAGAAAAGAAGGGAGATCTTCTCTCTAAGGAATACTTATGTTAGGCAATATGATTTAAAAAGCTATGGAGAAAGACACACCCAAATACATCTCTGCCATCTTTGCAAACACAAGTAAAAAGAATGTTGGAAAGGAGAGCAGAATTCCATGTCACAGTGAGAAATCGGACCACTTCACTGTACTAGACAAGATGAAGGGCTCATCACTGGGAACAGATCTTGTTTGTGCTTCCAGTCTTAATATCCTCTTCCAGCTTTGGCTTTAGCATCAATAAAAGATAAAGCAATATAAGAATGTACCCTTCGCCGGGTGGTGGTGGCACACGCCTTTAATCCCAGCACTCAGGAGGCAGAGGCAGGCGGATATCTGTGTGTTCGAGGCCAGCCTGGTCTACAAGAGCTAGTTCCAGGACAGGAACCAAAAAGCTATGGAGAAACCCTGTCTCGAAAATCAAAAAAAAAAAAAAAAAAAAAAAGAAAGAAAGAAAGAAAGAAAGAAAGAAAGAAAGAAAGAAAGAATGTCCCCTTCCCTTAATATCAGATTTAGAGGCCAAAGAAAGGCTGAGAGTCAGGAGGCTCCGGTTGACCATAGTCTAACCTCTGCAACATTAAATCCTCAACTTAGACTCCAAAAAGACACCCTAGCTTTTGTTGTTGTAATAGCCTCACTCAAGCATGGTAACAGAGAAGGCTCTTCTAAAAAAAAAAAATATGATATGGTTGTTAACTCAGAGAATTTCATAGATGCATATGGTATATCTTGATTATTTACTCCATGCTCCACACTCTAACTCCCTAGATCCCCCTTGACCTCAACAATCCCTCCAAACATCATGTGTTTTTTTTTTTAAAAAAAAAAAAAACTACCAAGTCCAGTTTGTGCTGCTCACGTACTCATGGATGGGGGTCCACCAACTAAATAGCAGTCCACTTACCAGGGGTCACACCTCAGTGAAAACTGACTGTCCCTTCCCCCAGAAGCCCTCAACTGTCAATAACTCCTCAGCTAGAGGTGGGGGATGATGATTCCACTCCCTGGTAGAATGCTGACTGCCTTGCTCTTGTGCAAGAGATTAGAGAAGGCCCTCCAAGTGTAAGCAGAATCTGTATATGTTCATGCATATAATATGTACACACACAAATATACACATATACACACATACCCACATGTATTCATGCACACACACATGTACACTCAAATGCACACACATATAAAACGTGTACACATGTACACACACACACGCGCCCTTCCACTTATGCCCAGCATGTATGTCATTCTAACAAACACTCTTCCTAACATGCTGACTCAGCCTACAGTATGGCTCAAGTCACAGCAGCTTTTTAGGAGAAGCCACCAAGTGACACAAAAGAGCCGTGGCACAGTCGACAAGTGCAAACCCTTGTGAAGGCATTTCTCAAAAATTCTGTGGAAATGACAAATGACACCCAACATAAATTATAGTTCAAACATTTAAAGTCTTAAATTCTGTGCATCTCAGCCAACAGAACTTCTAACTTTATATAGTTCAACCATGCTATTAGAAAGTTTTGTTGGCACTGAGACAATGGGGATGTTCTATCGGGAACTCACCAAGGCCACCTGGCCTGGGTCTGAAAAAGCCTGGGATAAAACTGGTCTCGCTGAACATAGCGGACAATGAGGACTACTGAGACCTCAAGAACAATGGCAATGGGTTTTTGACCCTACTGCACGTATTGGCTTTGTGGGAGCCTAGGCAGTTTGGATGCTCACCTTACTAGACCTGGATGGAGGTGGGTGGTCCTTGGACTTCCCACAGGGCAGGGAACCCTGATTGCTCTTTGGGCTGACGAGGGAGGGGGACTTGATTGGGGAAGGGGAGGGAAATGGGAGGTGGCGGTGGGGAAGAGATAGAAATCATAAATAAATAAATAAATAAATAAATAAATAAATAAATAAATAAAACGAAAGTTTTGTTGGCAAGAAGAGCACTGATGTTAGACATTAAAAGATATGGCAAATAAAAACCCGTATTATACTAACAAACAGGTAGACAAAGAGTTGGGAGGAAGCAAGGTGCATAAATGGACATGGTTAGAGATGAGACCTAAGGTTTAGAAAGAAGGTAGCACCTGCCATGTTGTTGGGAACTGGTGCAAAAAAGCTCAGTCACTAGCCAGTGCGATATTAAATCTATAATATTCAGAGTTCTTCCTGGGTTCCGTGTGATAGCAAATCTAATTAGATATGGAGCTGTTTGCAAAACTAAATCTGTGAGAGAGGCAGCAGAGGCCTCAAAGGTCATGTGACCTGCACAGCGCTCTGACCCATGAACTCACAGCAGACGAAAGAGAGTTGACGCACAGTGGAAAAGCTTCTGTGACTCACATATGCGTGAGAAGCAAATGTCAAATCAAGAACAAAGTTTGCAATCGCATTTAGCGGGTCTGTGCCCTTGATAGCTAATGTGTTGCTTGTTGTAAGTTAATTAGGAACAGAAAAAAAAATAGAAAATAGGGAAAGAACACAAATGAAAACGGCAGAGAGACCTGAACAGGAGTATACTCCAATGGAAGAATTAGAAAAATGGTAACAAAATGCTATTTTTCATTTACTAAATGGATAAAAACTAAGAAAGGACCAACAGGCAAGGGAGCTCATGCAGGCTCTTTCCCAAGGAGAGAGTCAGTCCCTCCAGAGGGACTTTGGCAATACATAGAATGTGTTCAAATGTTCATATCATCTGACCCACTAATTTAATCTCTAGAAATTAATCTCAAAGGGCTGGTCACAAATGTGCCAAAAAAGAAGAAAATTCAAGGACTTTTAACAGCAATAAGAAATTGGAAATACATGACCCATAGTAAGGTAAAACATTTTAAGCCCATACAATAAAATCTTAAACATTTAGACTAATATTTGAGAAGAAAATTTAGCAATGCTGGAATACCCCGGATGAGCAGAGCAGATTATACAACAATACATACATCAATATACACATCAACCCAACTTCTACTTAAAGAAAAAAGTACAGGAAGCAAAGCATGAAGAGATATGATCAACATTTGATCTGTGGTATCTCTGACAAAACTGTGAGCATTTCCACATGTGTCCCTTTCGTTTGTCATATTCTCAGAACTTTCTATGATGAACATATATGACTTGTGATATAGGAGAAAGTAAAGCTACTAATACTTAAAAAATGGGAAAATATCCTTTTGGGGGAGGCAGGTAAGAAATAAGAGGATCACTAACAAAAGGTCCACTGTCCTCTTAAGAGCCTGGAAATAGAATTCTCTGTTAATTCCTCTCATAAAAGAAAAGCAGAATAATTGTCCTAGTCAATTTTGGTTTTGTTTGT